GTGCCCTGGCATCAGCCTCGCTCACAGCAACCTCAAACTCCTGGGCTCAAGCGATCCTCCTGCCTCAGCCTCCCAAGTAGCTGGGACTACAGGTGTGTGCCACCACACCTGGCTCATTCTTTCTATTTTTTAGTTGTCCAGCTAATTTCTTTCTATTTTTAGTTGAGACAGGGTCTTGCTCTTGCTGAGGCTGGTCTAGAACTCCTGAGCTCAAGTGATCCTCCCGCCTCAGCCTCCCAGAGTGCTACGATTATAGGCGTGAGCCACCATGCCTGGCCTGAAAATAGAGTTCTAAGCTTTCCCCCAATAGGTGCAGAGGAGAATATAGAAAGGGGGTGGAAATAATGCCGAGGTGACCACTGACAAGCTGGCACACATTCCTGTTAGGATCTGTGCATAGAAAGGAGAACAAAACAATGAGGTCCCTGCCTTCATAGAGCTTCCAGTCTCTAGGAAGATTTATAAGTGCTGTGAGGGAAACCAACAAAAGCTGTGACCAAGAATAACAGGGGCACTCTCTTGGGCAGAGTGTCTAGGAAGGAGCTCTCTGAGGCCTGAAAGATGGTAAGAAGCCACAGCTATATGAAGTACAGGGAGGAGGTGGGGTTGTGATGGTCTAGGTACATAGATGGGTGGCCAGGACAGTGGTACCCATAGCGGAAAACAGCTTGATGTGTTTTAGGAAATGACAGATGGTCACCGTGACTGGAATTTGGTGGAGTGTAGCATCATTTTAAGATCGAGAGGATGGCAGGGGCTGGATTGTGCTGTGCCTTTTAGGACTTTGTGATGAGTTGGCATTTTGTTCTAAGTGAGAGAGGAATGCTCTTACCTTTTATGGCATATTTGGGCAAATCAGACAATGCATCCACTCCTCAAGACATCTCCATCTTGTTGGAAAACTGTTGTAATATACTTTTTTAGAACAAGTCACTTCACTGATATCTGCCAGAAAATGCCTGTAATAAATATAAAATTTAGAATGCCTCCAATGTTTGCTAAGCTCTCTGGTGGGTACGTGGAGAGGTAACAAAGATGTCTAGGACAGACAAGGAATGGGGGGTGGAGGGATGAGAAAGACAGACTCATTTTAAACAAAAAGTGTGTGTGTAGGTAGAAAATAGGTTTTGGTGAATTTTATGTTTCCCATTGATCTACTGTTTCAAGGATTTTTTTAAACGTTTTTTGATTGCTGTTGAATTAGCACCATCACCAACTAAGCTTCATGTAGATGAGCACCTAGGGAAAATGAGAAGGTTTGACTTCTGCCCTGCTTTATTTCCATCTGCTCTTCCATCTGAGATTCTCCTCCTCCAGCTTTTCTGCCACCCAGCCTCCCCTACTTCAATGTCTCCAAAACAAACAAATCTTTTTTTAAATTAATAACTAGAACAAAATTGGCAAAGGTGAACATTTTTTAATGGGGAAAGTTATAGGATCATGATCATACACACACACACTATCTTTTATGTGTTAGCTACTGTTGTCTCTGTAGGTAAGTACAAACATCACGAGGACTCTTGTCTAAACCATCACTCTACCCCACCTCTGCTCAGCCTCATCCTTCTCTACATGCACAGCAATACCTACTGGTGGGAAAAAGACAAAACTAAATAATCTCTAAAATCCCTTTACATTTTGAAATTAGGAATTGCTATGTCTGATTGGTTGTTTATGGTTGAGTCTAGAGCATTAGTCACCAAACATTTTTGGTTGCTCACCTCCATTAGTAAAAATGTAAAGTATGTAAAGGCGTAGATAGAAGCCACAATGACTATATTCAAATCTTGGCTTTGCCACCAACTCCCTGTGTCCTTGGGCACATCCAAATATTACCTTGATTTTTTTCACTTGTAAATGGGGATAATAAAAGTATATCACAGAGTCATTATGAAGATTAAATTAATTAGTATTTGCAAAGCATATACCTGGCACATGGTAAGTGCTGTATATGTGAAATAAAAATTATTATATATAATTCATATAGTGTGTGTTTATATAGGTACATTGTAAAACATACACACACAAAATTAAAAATAATGATTTTTAAATATATACATGTATGTTTTCTTTCTGCATACTGCATATTCTGTGTCCTCCCTGGGCAATGTGCATCCCAATTTGGAGACCATTGATTTAGAGCTGTGCTGACAGATATGGTAGCCACTAACCATGTCTTAATTAAATTTAAATTTAGTTAAATTAAAAATTCAGTTCCTCAGTCACACTGATCACATGTGCTTAACAGCCACATGACTATTGGACAGTACAGATATAAAATATTTACATCACAGCAGAAAGCTCTGTTGGATAGCACTCACCAAGGTGAAAAAAACAAGGGACTCAAAGTCACTGAAAGGCAGTAGGATCAACTGCTGACTCGAACGTGTAACTGTGCTACTCTGTTCAAGTCAAGTGATAAGATCTTTCTCTGAGCCTCACATCTCATCTGCAAAATGAAGATAAAAATAGGAACTACCTCATGGGCTGCTGAGCAGAGGAAATAAGATAATGTGTGTAAAATGTCTGGCAGAGTGCCTAAAACATAGAGTAACTTGAAAATATTAGTAAGATTTGAGTTTAAATTAACCCAATTCTGTAAGCCTGAAAGGCAAAGAAGATCTTGTTATTTTTCTTAAATCTAATGGGTAAGTTTTCAAAGATACCTATTTTATAAAAGTGAAGACTTTGGTTTACTTTTAGTTGAAAACAGCATTCAAGGGGAGATGACAAATACCTGGATTTTAATTACTTATTGATTTATTGTCCTCTCTACGCTTAAACCCTGCCTTCTCCAGTCTTGCCCAGCTCGAGTTCTCAACCTCTCCATCCTCTTTTCCATCTCCTTCATGCAATCTCTTTGCCTGCACAATATTGTAAGATCTACCTTCAAAACACTTCATCTCATCCTCTCTCCTCGCATCCCCTCCACAGGGGGACCATCCAGGATTGTGTCACTCACCCGCAGAAACCCTTCCATGGCTCCCCACCGAAGCCGCCATATACGACTGTGCTAGTTGTTAATAGAACAACCCCAGCAAACAGGTGCTGTGGTATAAATGAATAAGGGCACATTTAACTTTATATGCGATCCTGTCATTACAGTTTCTAGGTATGTGAAGTAGGTAGATGAAGTTTTGTGGCATCAGAGAAAAGTTTTGGGAAGACCAGAGTTCTAAGGCATGCACTTAAAAGAAATGGCTGCGTGGAGCATGTGGAGTACATGTGTGGTAGCCGCAGCTCCCTCCGTTTCAAGAGGTAGGGGTTTTAGAGAAAGCAGAGGGTGTGCCGGGCAGGATCGCCGAACTAAATCAGAGCAGCAAACAAATGTCTACACATTTGGCATTTAAATCCAAAGCCTTTCTTTCTCGTTCTTCAATTCCCTGGGGAGGCCTGTCAGGGGAAGGGGGAAGTGGGGAGGGGTTAGGTCTTCTTTCCATTCTTCCAGTCTTCCTAAGAACTTTGTAGACAGTTGAGCAGTCCTTTCCCAAGGCTCGTGCGAGTCAGGTAAAGCGCCCCACGCGCACCCAAACGCGTTCCGAGCGCCAGTCCCTGCACCGCAGCGGAGGAACGAGCCCCACCCGCAGGCTGTCTGGTTGGGTGTGGCCTCCGCGCAAGGCCCCGCCCCCCGAATGCGCCGCGCGCGGCGGGAGGGGCGGGGCGAGGGAACGGGCGAGAAAGGGCGGGGAGTGAGCGGGCTGGGTGTGCTCGTGCCCGCGCGCTCGCGTCTGGCGTGTGGGCGGGGGCGCGCCCGTGCACGCGCAGGGGAGAGGCCAGCACAGGCGGCCGTTGTAGGGTTCGACTGGAGGGGCGGAGGAGTCACCTGCGAGCGGCTGCTCTGGCAGCCGGCCCGCCGCGTCTGGATCGCGCTGGCTGCGCGGGGCCGCGGACCGCACACACCCTGGGAGGCTCGGGCGGGGGAGCAGGCAGAGTCAGTGCCCGGCGTCCGCAACTAGGAGGAATCGGACCTTCGCCGCTGGCGTCCGCGCCCGTCTGGGTATGTGAAGCCCGGGTTGGTGGCCGGCCGGCTCCTGGCGTGCTGGGAGGGGAGAAGCGAAACTTTCCGGGCGCTTCCTCCCGCGGTCCCGGGGCCGTCGCGGCGCCGGGAGGTGTTGTCGTCGCGGGCGGCGGCGGCCGACGCCATGTTGGGGTCTGTGAGAAATGGGGCGCTCCCGGGTCGGTCCCCTCGCTCTGGGCCGGCCCGCGGGCGGGTCGCCGCTGCGGTCCCGCAGGGCCCGCCCCAGGACAGCGCCGCCGGGAGAGTGTAGGGACCGCCCGGGAGGGTCCGGCCCGCGCGTCCGCGGGAGGGAGCCCCGAGGTCGGGCGAGAAGTCGCGGGGCTAGAGGACTGGCCACGACGCCAGTGGCGTGTCCGGGCCCCAACATGTTTCTGTCGGAAAAGTTTGCAGGGTGTGCGCATCAGGGACGTTGTAACTTGAACAGCGTATTTTTATGTGACTTGGGGGGGTGAAATGGCACCGCAGAATTTGCTATGATAGAAGCGATGGTTTATTTATCTGGAGTATTTTAGTTTTATGGTCCTTTGCCTAATTTATTTTTCTTTTAAAAAATGTTATTAAAGGCTGAGAACTCGCTGCTCATGTTACTCGAATAGCCTGTGTACTCTTAGCACATTACAGCAATAACTTGTGTGAATGTGCAATGAAAATGAGTGGTATGAAGGTTACTGATACCTAAGCCCTTCTCCATAATTCATAGACTCACAAAGTACGTTGAGTTGATAAATGCCTTCTTTGTCGTGTTTTAGTACACTGCTGAAGAGGCTCATTAAGGAAAGATTGAAACACAAACATAGACGGAGAGACTTAAAGGCATGTGTTGTTCTTTTAAGAATAAGGTGAAGTGATCTTGACATTTCCAAGTTTCTTTCCTCCCTTTGGCTTCTTAAAGTTGCATGCCTACCAATGTTTTGAGCATTTACCTGTTTTTTTGTACTCCCGTAGCTCCTGGGGTCCTCAGATTAATTCAGTATTAATGAGGGCTTCTAATTTTTAATCTCTTTGGGTCCTGACAGCAAGGGAGGTGAATAGTGTTAACTATTTATTTGGAAACCACATGTAATCGCTTCAAAAAAACAAAAACAAAAGTGGTACACTGACTACCGCATAGAAAGAACAGATTCAGCTTGAATTACCCCAGTAAATGAATATAAATTATTTTTTAATAAAGACATCTTAGCTTTAAAATTCTGTTAAATAAACTGAAAAGGCTCTTAACCACAAATACAATTATCCCTAAAACATCTTGGAGACTTTTTGTTTTTACTCTTTAGATTTGATTACCAATTTCCTCAGTTCTAAAAAATTCTTTTAGTTTTGCTTCATTGTGAAGTAAATGTCATTATACATATTTATTTTTATTTAGAGTTATTATTTAGAATTTTATTTAGAAATAAGGTGACTTAAGTCTCTTCACAAATCTAGCAGCCAAGCTACTATTTAACTGAGGTCTTGTGATTCTGAAGCCTTCTCATTTTCCTATAGCATAACTTTTTAGGATACATAACTCAGTCCTGTGGAGCAATCTCTGTCCATCTTGTTTGCTCTTATCGCTGCTCTTTCTGATTTGAATTTAGTTTGTCAGTATAAATACTTGTTTCCTAGAGAGCTGGTTTACAAATGTTCTTGTAATGAAATTTTTCCTCTTAAAAATACTCTTAAGTCTATACTCTTTGAAGCCTTTTCTGCTCTGTTCTCTTACTCCACTCCTTTTCTCTCCCTAGGAAACCATTCATTTCTCCCATGATATTCCCATAAATATTGTATAGATCTGTTAAGGCACCTCCTTGACAGCAGGCAACACATCGGATCTGATTTGCCTCTCCATCTCTAGCATGCCAAGAACATAGCAGATGCTCAGGAAAGGTTTGCATGGATGAATGCACATGTGTTTGTTTTTTGTAAATATGCTTCATGAATTTCTTATTAAATTGTAATTTCCTTGGGGATAGTAGTGAAATCTCTGTAGTCTTTTTTCCCAGTACGTTGCCACGAACTCTATTAAATCCACGGATTGGTTGATTGTATTTTTTTTTTTTTTTTTGAGAATTTATCTTGGTAACTCAATGAATTTTGGCTTGGGGGTACAGAACTTGAATATTTATGAAATTTCCAAGTAGATGGTGGATTAATAATTACTGATGAATGGAAGAGAAACTGTGGATCAACAAAAGGATTTTATCATAATTTTAAGTGAGATTGATTTATTTGCACTTGATGGAAATAAATTAATACCTGAACATTTTGAAGGTTGTGTTTATACATTTAAACTCTTTGGTAGAGCAAATCTCATTATTGCTCTATCAATTACTGTTTTGTCAGAATTGTATTGTCTTAGAATTTTGTTTTAGAATGCCCTGCTTAATAGAAAGTATGTAAAATTGCTTTTCTATTGATAAGTTTATCTTTGATGAACCGGTTTTGTACATGAGTTGTCTGGTTAATAGCAATGTGTGTGTTGGTTTAACTGAATAAAAAATACTTAATAGGTATGCTTTCACAGTGCTAATCTAAGTTGCAAAACCTCTCTAGGTTAAAGTGGTGTGTAATTCTGTAATGACTGTAGAATTTGGGGTTAATTTCCTGCCCTCACCCAAGATAACTTTCTCCCTGGTCAATCTATAAACCACAAACTAGTGTGGTCAATTTCGGGAGATCCTGGGAAGAGAATAGAAGACATTCAAATAGTGCGTGAGCGTACTGGAAAGAAAGCCAGTTGCATGTAAAGTGGACTGGAACAAATTAAACAAACCATGAGTTCTGGCTCTGTTTCTTGCTAGCCTGTGACTCTTTAACAAGTCCCTTCACTTCTCCAAGCTTCACTGGACTCATTTGTGAAGATGAACATAGAAATATTTGCCTCATAGTGTTGTTGGGAAGATTCACTAAGATGTTTGTGGAAATGCCTGGCACGTGACAGTATTATTTTAATAAATGAACAGAGTGGCAGCAAATTATGTAGAATCATAGAATTTAAAAATTTTAAGAGAAGCAGCCTTTAGAAATACCTAGTTCATGGCTGGGCGAGGTGGCTCACGCCTGTAATCTTAGCACTCTGAGAGGCCGAGGCGGGTGGGTCGCTCAAGGTCAGGCGTTCAAGACCAGCCTGAACAAGAGCGAGACCCCGTCTCTACTAAAAATATAAAGAAATGATCTGGACAACTAAAAATATATAGAAAAAATTAGCCGGGCATGGTGGCGCATACCTGTAGTCCCAGCTACTCAGGAGGCTGAGGTAGGAGGATTGCTTGAGCCCAGGAGTTTGAGGTTGCTGTGAGCTAGGCTGACGCCACGGCACTCTAGCCTGGGCAGCAGAGCCAGACTCTGTCTCAAAAAAAAAAAAAAAAGAAAAAAAGAAATGCCTAGTTCAGTTCTCAACCTTAGCTGCGCATTAGAATCTCCTGAGGAGTTTCTTAAAAATATTGGTGCCTGAAATCCACCCCAGAACACATAAATCAGAATTACTGGATTTGGGTACAGGACATAGGTGGGTTTGCCTTTTTTTTTAAGTACCCATGATTTAAATATGTAATCAGGTGGAGAGCCTTTGATTTAATTCAATCTCCCATCTCCTTTTTATTCTCTTCATTTTGTGGTTGAATAAAATGCAGAGAGGTTAAGTGCTAGCCACATTCCCATCAGTCAGGCTAGAAAGGATTTATTTACAGCTGAGGAAAGTGAAGCGCATAGAGGTTAAGTAACAGTTACATTCATTTCTGACCAGAAAGGCCACATTTGGAACTACAGTTCACTAACTCCAGTGACCTTCACCTCTACTCTGCATTAACAGCCTGTATGTATGACTGTGTTATTTAACCTTGCCATCATTCAGAACCACTCTACCTCAAGTCTTAAACCCTTAGGCCAGATGGTGATTGCAAGGGCCTATTTTCTATTTCTCTTTTCTGTCATACATGGTGAAGCAGCTTTTTGTCCTTATTGTCACCTTCAGTCACTCTCAGGCCATTAGTCTTCTTCCTTTCCAACTTTGAGCTCTGTAGTTCATATTCTAACCGTGAACTCACTAGTGCTACATAATCCCTCTTCTTCACCTTTGCTGAGTATAACTGGTCAATTCTCAACTTGTAAATAATATGGTTCACTATCTGTACTTTTGTCCCTCTCCCACATCCCCCTAAAAAAGTCATTCTGTGGTGATTGTTACATATTTGTTTTCCACCTGCCTATGTATTAGTGGCCTTCTAATCCTTTTCTCATCAAATGAATTGATTCATTTTTCTCTCTCCCCTTCCCTCTCCCTTCTGCTCTTCCCCCCTCCCCCAGTCTTGCTCTGTCGCCCTGGGTAGAGTGCAGTGGTGTCCTCATAGCTCACTGCTCAAGCTATACCGCCTCAGCCTCCTGAGTAGCTGGGACTACAGGTGTGTACCACTACGCCCGGCTAATTTTTCCATTTTTAGTAGAGACAGGGTCTTGCTCTTGCTTAGGCTGGTCACCACGCCCAGCTTGATTCATTTTGTTTATTGCTTTTTCACCCTATTCAGGTTGCTAATCCCAGTCTTGAAACACTTGACTCTTAGCAGATGACCTTGCTTCCTTCTGAAATGATTAAGATTTTTTGATGTGAAATTTCTATTTTCTTCTTTGCATCAACTTCTTCATCTTTTTTTTTCTTCCCATTTTCACAAGTGGAACTATCTTTAATTCTTTATACTTGTTTCATTTAAATAACGGGGAAAAATTGAAAAGATTTTTATGTTCTTCATATTTTTATTAATTGTATATATAACTGGTTTGCTTTTTACACTTATATTTTTCTACGCATTCTTTGCATTTTGTTCCTAAATTAAAAACTTATCTTATGTGTTCATTATAAAATAATTAGTATCAAAATATTATCACTAGTACTTAGAGATAACCAGTACTAACTTTTTGGTGTATGTCTTTCCACTTTTAAAAAACAAATAGGTTTTACTATATGTGCTGTTTAGAAACCTTTATTTTATAAAATGCCTTATTTG